CCAAGTGCAAGGTCCTGCACATGGGTCGGCACAACCCCAGGCACAAATATAGACTGGGGGAAGAATGGATAGAGAGCAGTCCTGAGGAGGACTTGGGGGTGGTAGAAGATGAGAAGCTTGACATGAGCTGGCAGTGTGTGCTGGAGCCCAGAGAGCCAAACACATCCTGGGCTGCATCAAAAGAAATGTGGCCAGCAGGGCCAGGGAGGGGATTCTGCCCCTCTGCTCTGCTCTGGTGAGACCCCACTTGGAATACTGTGTACAGTTCTGGTGTCTTCAGTACAAGAAAAATATAGACCTGTTGGGGAGGGTCCAGAGAAAGGCCACCAAGATGATCAAAGGGCTGGAGTACCTCTGCTATGAAGACAGGCTGAGAGAGTTGGGGCTGTTCAGCCTGGAGAAGAGAAGGCTCTGAGGAGACCTTATAGCACCTTCCAGTACCTGAAGGGGCTACAGGAAAGCTGGGGAGGGGCTTTTCACCAGAGAATATAGTGATAGGACAAGGGGTAATGGTTTTAAACTGAGATAGGGGAGATTTAGGTTAGAAATTAGGAAGAAATTCTTCACTATAAGGGTGATAAGGAACTGAATGGGTTGCCCAGGGAGGTTGCTGATGCCCCATTCCAGGAGGTTTTTAAGGCCAGGTTGGACAAGGTTTTGTGTAACCTGTTCTAATGGTAGGGTTCCCTGCTCATGGCAGGTGGATTGGAACTTGATGATCTTTAAGATCCCTTCCAACCCTAGTGGTTGTGTGATCCTATGTTTTAATTTAAGGGAGTTTTGTTAGTGTACACCAATTAAGAACTGTGGTCTTATGGTCAAATTTTTCACATATAAAGAAATTTTTTCCATGTCACCAGGACTATGGAAAATGTGTAAGTGGAAGATTATTGGCCTTTGCACAATAGAAGGCACTACAATTTTTATAAATTAGTATTGGTTTACTAGTTCAGTAGTATAGTGTAAAATAAGTTATCTGTGCTGCTGTAAAATACTTATGTCACAAAGTTCCTAAAAGAAAAATTAAACAAAGAATGAGAAAAAAAATAAATTTGGCTAAGAGTGAAAGCCTTGTGGCAGGAAAGCAGACACAAAATTGGAGGGAGAAGAAAGTAAAGAGTATAATTAAAATGTTGCTTTCTCCTCTTTCCAGTTACCTGCCCTCTTTTGGTATTCATATACGCTTGTTGAACTTGCACCTCAATGATTGATTGACTCAGTGAACTCATTGTAATAAATTATGTTTGATGTGCTATCTTGAAAAAAATCTTTTGAAATTCTGTCTCTTTTCTTTGTCTGCTCACCTTGTGGCTTTTAATATCTTGTTTCCCATCTGTCTGATTCCATCATAAGCTGAACATAACTTTTTAGACCTTAATGCAGCTCTCTTTTTGTTCTGGTTTAAGTAATGCAAGTATGTGATTTGGCCATCAACACTAATACCGTAAAGGAATGTTGAAGTGTGTGTTTCCTTTATTGATGTGAAATAAAGAAACTCTTATCTGTAGATATTTGATAATACGTATTTACAGTGCATAGATCTGTCTGCAAGCAAATTAATACAGACATGTCTGTATCATTGTGTTACATCTGCTTTAACATTACAAGTCCAAAGGGTACTGTTAAGGATTAGTTCTTAATTAAAGCAGGAAAGAAATGGATCTATAAGGTTTCAGGAAAGCATTTTTAAATATATGTTTAAAAATACTTAACTAAATATGTAATACAGATGTACCAAAACTTCATTTTGAGAGATTGATTGTACTGTAGATATTTGTACTGCAAGAAGTGCCTCTAGCATTGAGGTATTAACTGAGTTTTGAGTTACAGGGGAATTTGGAGACAGACCTATTTTGTTAAAAGTATTTTTTCTAGGGGATATTATGTCTGTGGAAATGTTGTGTTGGGATATCTTTTTTTATGCTTATAGTTCAGCAGTTTGCTTACAAGCATAAGGTATAGTTAGATAAACTATTTGTGTTCTTTATTAAGGACAAAAAATGTATATGCAGATTTTTTGGATAGTGCCATTTTTAGTGAGTGTAAATCTTTGGAGACACTAGAGGGAATGAACTGAGCCAGGAAGAGAGGAAAAGGAAAAAAACATGGTAGTCCTGAGACTGTCTAGAAGTTTCATGGGACAGTGGAAGGAGAATTGTTTAAGTCTGCTGAATTCATCAGAGGGTGGTTATGAAAAGGCCAAAAGGCTGCAGAATTCACTCAACTCTATTTATACATAACACACAAAGCACTGAAGTGCTTACTTTGATATGGTCAATATAATTTTATTTGGATGATGATGATGATACTACTGCTACTAATTCTTTTTTTGTCTGTCTGATTTGGCTATGAACAAAGTATGCAACTAAGAAAAGTAAGTCAATGGGAACCAAAAGCCTTTTCCCTTCATGATTGATTGAAAAAACAGTAAGTAAACCAGTTGCAGCAGGAGCAGCAGAGTGCATAGGCATATTCATTCAAGCAAGTGATCGGTAGGTACATTGACTGAAATAGAAATATTCTTCCATCTAAGCATCATGTTGAACTGAGGCCTTAATATATAGTCTAAGCAACTTTTAGTTTGAAAAGTGCTGTCTTTGCTAAACTTCTGACTTCCGTGGCATTTGTTGTCTATTGCTACTGAAACAGCTCTTTGAGTAGAAGCTTTGGTGCTGTGGTGCTGATATCTAGCAAGTTTTATGTTTTAATTCTTTTTATCCTCTTGTACTGTGGACAACTGCATTGGAGAAATCTTGGTGTGTATGTGTCACACCATTGAAAGAATTATATTCATCTCATTGAGAAAGCTGAAGCAGTTTGCAACACTACATGAAAAAAAATATTTGAGGATAGAAGTTTTCTTGTGAAACTTCTTGTGGATAATTTTATTTATGAAACTCACAGCCCTGTTTCTAAAGCATAGAATATCAACAAACAAACAGAATGAAATCTTGGCTCCATTATATTTAATATCAATATTTTAGGATTTCTGTTTCACTATGTTTTAATTCATCATGTGATTCCCAGAGTTAAGTTTAGTAGAGTATTTCTTTCCAGAGTGCGAAAAGTTAAATGCTTGTGTCACAGAGTTTGTTCTAGTGTCTTTAAAAGTAAAAACCTGCTTAAGTAGATACATCTCACCTTCTGAAATTTTTATGTAATACAGCAGCTGTGTAGTGTTACACCCAAATACAGAAGACTATCTAACATTTAATGTTTCATCATCATTGCATAGCCATTTGCTGTGGTAGAAAAAAATATCAATATGGAGTGTGACCCACAAATTGAAAAATGGCAGGAATGATGGGTCTAAGTTACGTGTTTCTAATAAAGAATACACCTATGTGACTCATGGCTCTCTCTTTGTAATAATGGTGTGTTTAATTCTATGTTGCTGAGGAAAGTTGCAAACCAGAAGAAAAAGTCCTTTCTACATTTTCCCAGATCTGTTTCCTTAATTGCTGAGATTTGCATGGGGATTGAAGGACAGACTAGACATTGTTGAACATTTTAGCTGAAAGAAGTGACACTGTGCCATAATTAGCTGCAGTTGAAATCCAACTACAAAGTGCTTTCCAACAGTACTCAGGAATAAGGCATTGTATTTATTGTCAGTATATGTGAGTATAGTTATTGGCAGCAGTTAAATGTTTATTTGCTTCGTGTTTAGGTTTTAGGTTTTCTGCTGGACTACATCATTGAATCCATGATGTACAGTTACATCTTTGCTTTAAATGTGAGAGTGAGAGTGACACATTCACATTACCTTTTCAGCATATGTGGAGGAAGGAGAAGAAAATGAAATGGCATTCTTATTCTAGAAATTCTGATATAATTTACATATTGGAATGTGGTGGACTCTGAATTAAATACTACAATAATTTTGATGCAGATTAAACTGATTAGTAGACACAGAATAGTGTAAGCACTTGGATCATCATATCAAATTTCTTCCATCTAGGGGAGAAATATGAAGAAAATAATATCGTTTGTAAGAAAAGGTCACATGGCCTGTTGTTTAGAAAAGCAGTTGCACTAAGTGGCACAATTAGTTAATAGGGTAAAACAAATATATTGTCTGGTGAAATAGTGATAACCTTCTATGCTAACTGTAATGCTGTGTTATATTACTTGGCTTCAGATATAGTCACACACTGTATTCTCTTGAAGAAATAAGAAGAATCCCCCATTGATTATAACAGGATCACTGATTTTCATGCATTACTGCATCATAAATGTTCACTTCTTTTCTCCTAAGATATCTGTGTGCTTACTAAATAAAATATATGTAGTCCCTGAAAATGTGGTTACTAAATTAGCATGCCATATTTTTCACAAAATGAATCTTTTTCCAGTTTTGTCTGTCTGACTAATAACTGGGTAAATCTTTCCTTATCTTCTAGTGGCAGATGATTTATCAAGGCTCACCACTTAATTAATATTACAGAGCATGTGGGGAGCTGAAGAATTTAGAAGTATTTTCCATCGTTTGGACACGTAACATGAGAAGCATAGGAGAAAACAGAAAGATAATCTTGTAATTGAGAAAAAGCCTTTGTGATTTAAGCATGGGATTGAGGTTCAGGAAATAGTGAGTTCTATCCCACGAATCCATCATGCTTCCCACTAGACTTTGGACAAGACACTGATTTTTTCTTTGCTGCAGTTGGCCATTTGGTAAAATATCAAGGGTAATACTGCTATATCTCTTGAGGTAGTTTAATGTGCTACATTTGTCTATCATTACTAGTGTTACATGGCAACGTATTAATTTTGGGTTTATTGAGTTGTACTTACATAAGCACTTCCATGATATAGATGTAGCCTGAATTTTTTCATATTTAAAAAGGGTACATTATATGTAATATAGAAATGATACTTTGTGACATAAATATTTTAACTTATGTATCTGAAGCACATAAAAATAGACAGAAATCTCAAAGGAGTTGTCAATGAAGTTTCAGCTTTCCTGAATACTTTGACTTTTTCTCTATTTCCAGGTTGCATGTCTCACTCATGTAGCAGCTAATTACCTTAATTGCAAAATTGAAGCAAAACGCTGGGGTACTGCTCATGGAAGCATTGTTCCTTATCAGGTAAGCAGAAAGCATTAGGTATTTTTATTTTTCTCTTGGAATCAATGATTTTGTGTATTATGAGACTGAGAACTGACTTTTCCCATGACTTGCTGTAGTCTGTAATGTGTCTGTGACTAGGTAGGACAAGGTTCTGTTGTTCGTTGTCATTTTTGCATTTTGCATGTTTCTTCATCAGCCGTAGATTAGTAACAGAACACTAAAATAGATCAAAGGTGTTTGCTGAAATTGGATGACTTTAAAGCTAGCATCATGACTTGATTGCTTTTCACCTGACAGGGAAACTTTTTTTTTAAGGGTTACCTGACTTCCATACCAGTTATAAACTGAAATTCTTTGCCTCTGCATTTTGGTGTTTTTATCTTCTGAGTCTACAAGAATGATCTAAATGACCCTGAAGACCTGGGAGTTCTACATATTTTGTCATTTTGTATAGATTTTGCTACAAATCACTGTGGCTCAGTGAGACAACAGGTTGGCAAAAGGAATTAACCAGAGCTCAGATCTCCCCAGCGGAATTTAGTGTCTGCTACATCTAATGAAGGGTTGAAATTCCTTAAAATAACATGACCTTCATCATATAAACAAGCACAGGGAAAAAAAAAAATGCTTCAAGCTTTATCTTACTTCTGGCTAGTATGGGAAATTCTTCCCATAAACACAGAAAATTTTGTTCTTTGCCAGCTGATCATTTTGTGATGACTTCTTGATGGAAGTCATGCTAACTGATGGAGACTTGGGCCTACATTTAATTTAATAACCCCATGCTTTATGTCATTATCTTTGGCACTTCTCATCAAATAGTCATGTTTGCAGCTAGCTAGGCAGAGCCTGGATTTCTTAATTTTTTTTTTGTCTGGAGTCCTTTAAATGCTGCGAGGAACACTTCCCAGCATTTATCAGGGAGAACTGCACCTAAACACCACCCAGTTTCTTTACCATCTCCTTTCTTTTTAGAGAAAGTGAGGGAAACACAGTGTATTGTGTTCTTCCCAGTGGTGAAGATGGTGGTGATAGTAGCATTTGAAGATTTGCTGCTCGTGGCCATAAAAACTCTGAAGCAAAAATCTTACATTATTACACAGAACACTGTCACTGGATAGTGTCACAGCCAGGCCTCCTTAGGTATAAACTAAAATCAACTAAAATCAGATGGTTTTGTAAGAGCTGCGTCTACTTGAGCTTGGAGACTTTTTCCAGTACATACCACTGTATAGTCAGCTGTCTTGTTATGAATTAGCTAGAATGAATCTTAGTATCTTAGACTGATGGGGAGATGTTGCAGCTCTTTCTGAAGGATGAAATTGGTCCTACAGTATTCTTGTCTCAGGTGTTCTGCAGCACAGCAATGACTGACATTGCGTAGCACTATGGTCGTGTTTCCTACAACCAGCTCTCCAATGTAACCAAGCATCCAACATCCTTCTCATATAAACTATAGTATCACCTGGGAAGGTTGGACCAGATGATCCTTGAGGTCCCTTCCAACCTATCATTCTATGATTCTGTGATCCACATTTTGCTCTGTTTCTGTGATGTGACCTTTTGGTGCAACCCTTATTGAACTTTGGTATGCTGGAAGTATAAAACACATCTGAAGTGTCTGAAGTTTGTATAAACAAAACCAAAAGCCTGACTAAACAAAGCATTTTATCTTCACTGTGATGCATTTGGCTTAATAATTGAAACTTGCATTCTCTTATGCCCTTTTGCCTTTGTTTGTCCACAGTCAAAATGAAAAGAAAAACTTACATTAAGTATCCTTTATTTTCTTTCATACACAGCTCTCCAGTTGTACAAAAATTCAAGGAGATTGTTTTAGCTGTCTTCTGGTTTAATTTGGAGTAGTCAACCTTTTTTTAATTTTTTTTTTACATTCCATCTAAACTGCAGTTCCTATTTCTCTGTATGCTGGTTTTGTAGTAGATATTAGAAATGTTACCTCAATATTATGAAGAGTTTTAATCTGTATTTTCTTGTTCATAAACCAGCAATTAGGGTGGTTTTCCTATGGGTGGAGTTGTGTGTGTATGGCTCATCTGTTAACATTCCATCAGCTAGCATGGTTATAATTCTGATTGTAACCATAAGTACATTATGCTTTCTAGAGCTTGTTTTTTGCTCTACTAATGGAAGCTATACTTAGACTGCAAAACTCTTCAGAAACTTGAATTAACCTTCCCCGTTGCTATTGTGCTGCTTTTATAGTTGCTTCCATCACTCATTTGTAATATAGCTTAGAACAGAACTCTGAAACCTTTCATCCCTCATTCTAGTTATTGAATACTATCTTTTGCTTACTAATTAATATGTGACTATCACTGATTATTACAAATACATGGATTTTTTAATTTTTTTTTTTGTTTCAAGATACTATGTGCAAGTGAACTATAATTTGTTCAAATAATAAAAATCACATTTCAGAAAACTGAATTTCTGTGTATTTCAGAAAAAGGATATAGTAGTGAACTGTTGGATTTATTTTTTTTTTAATGTCCTCAATTTTATTTCTTAATTTTCTACATTTTGAGTTTTCACACTGGTAGTAAATTAAAACTTTGAAGTGATATAGAGCCTGCGATCTTGCCGTAAAGTGTCGGACTATGTTAAATCAAGGAAGACTGGGTAAACATGAGAGATAATTTCATAGATATTAAAGGGCAAAAATCTGAATAATTTCCATCATCATTTGGTGTGACAGAAGTCTGATCAGAGTCATGCTGGAGTGCTGACCAAAATTAAATAAAAAATACATGTTGAAAAGATCTTAAATATGTACTTTAACAGTGCTTTTTAAAAATTACAGTTGTTACAATAGCTGTTCTAGTGTTGTTTAACACATTCACTTGTGTATAATGAATGATATTGCAGCTTTTATTTAGTTGAGCTTCAGCTGAATTCCATTTTTGTTCTGAATATTTTTGCAAATTGCTCTATTTTTTCTGTAAAGGGTCAAATTAAGCTTTGAGTATATCTCTTTAATTTCACTGAATTCCCTCTTCTTGGCTGAAAACGTAGCAGCATAATTTGTCTCTGAGTGTGCACTCTAGTTTGACCTTTCTTACTTTTTCTTGTTATTTCAAAATGTAAAAATTGAACATTATTGGGCAGCTGGGTTTCCTCTTTCATGAAACTACTGCATTGTGCAGCACCTTCTATTTCTGGCCGGAGCAGCAAGCTCTTAATAAAAGACATGTAAAGTTTGGTGTGCAAGACTTTCGTGGTCTTTTTAGGTTTTTTGCATTTCCTGATAATGTGCTGACTTTGTGTCATCATTGTTTGAAAAGTCTGAGTTTTCAGTTCTGTGTGCTCATCACCAGAACCCAAAGAAAAGCATTTCAACTTCTTTTGAGTGTACAGTATCTTTCAGGGTACATGTCAAACTGTCTGTAAATATTTGTCATATGTTTTCAATGGAGATGAACTTCGCAGTGTTGAAAGATGAAGAACTCTATTTCTAATCAGGCCAAATCAGAAATACTTTTTTTGAGTGCTTCATAAGAAATTCTCTATTTTGAGCATATCTGCTTTTTAATCAGAGCAATGTAGTTTGAATAGGTCACTCCTGTGACAGTGCATGTAATCAGATCCCAGTTTGCTTGGTTTCAAGTGTTAAAACACAAACCTTGAGTTCTGGGATGTATCTTAAGTGTAATTAGTGCAATTTTTAAAAACAAGTTTCTATAATGAGACACCTTGTTTAGCTACAGCTGCTCCATGATTTTCCAGAGGAAATCAGGGGCTTAAAAGCGTCCGGTTTACATAACTGTGCTGAAATGTAAAGTTCTATTACTGCTTTTCATTTAGGGTGATAAGGTCTTCCCTGATTCTTGTAGTTTCAGCAATCATGCTGTCTTGCCTGAATCACATGCCTGAATCACTTTTTTGTCTTCCATTTGGCACAATTGGAATGGATACCCATTCTCCTGAGAAAGACTACCACAACAATGTTTACAGGATGTTTCTTGTGCCAGCTAATCACCCTGCCATCAGGCACCCAGAGAGCTGGGCAGCACTTTCAGAGGCAAAGTTTCAGCAAAAGATTTGGGGCTGTATTCTCTTGGGCCATAGTGACAAAAGTCTCCTCAAAGACTGAGAAACCAAGCTCTTACAGATACCACCCCTTCCTCTCCCTGTCAATGTATATGATCTTATTTCTCTTCCAGATTTGGTCCTAGGACTCACAGTGTCTTCTCAAGTATACTTCAGTACAGTTTCAGAATATGCAAAGGGCACAACCATTCTGCACAGAAGTTGAAACCACAAGACAGGAAAGAAATTATTGTTTTGAGCAATAATATTTTGTGTTGTCTGACCTTTGCATTGTTACAACCCATCACACTCAATATTAATTTTTTTTTTTTAATGTTAGAACATAACTTGGATTCTTTAAGCATCAAATTTTTGTTGTCATAGGCATAAAATTTCTTTCAGATGGCAAAACTGTCTGTGTCAAAGGCTTTGCAGTTGAAATGTGTTACAAAAACCAAAGTATAAGCTCACAAGGAAGTGAAAGCCATGAGTTAGCAGGAAGATGAGTATAGTCATAGATATAAATATATTTTCATTGTTTATGGAATTTGTATCTCATACTTTTTGCTTGCAGAATTTCATGCTTTCCAGGGGTCTTCCAAAGTAAATACTGCTCATGTCACTCGTGTCCCATCACAGGAACAGATAATGCATTGAGTTGTTACTTACCTGATTCGTATGGCAGAGATGCCTTTCATACAAAGGCACAATGTGACCAACTTTTCTAACTCAGCTATGGAGAATCTCACAGAACTTTTAATTGCTACTTTTAAATTTTTTTTTAAATTATTTTTTTTCCTCCTTCCAATGGAGAGGGCAACAGAATAATGTCAATAATTCAGAAATTTCAAACTGCTTATTCCACAGAAGAACCTCATCTACTTGAGTTTCCTGGGTTATTTAGACTGCCTTGAGGGCCCCCTTTTCTATATTGTTCTGAGCAATGAAGTATCACTGCTTTTCATTTG